GGTGCCGCAGCGGGGAGAGGGGAAGAGGCTGTAACAGGCGTGAGGCTGGTGGGCTGCCCGCCCCCAGCACAGTGGGGCTGCGCGGCACTCGGGCGGTGCGCCTGCCTGTCTTCGCGTGGCGCTTTGGGCCAGCTTGGCCGGCCCCACTGCGGGGGTGGGGAGGAGGGAGCCTTGTGCCTGGTGAGCTGGGATTATGTAGCCCGGGGGTCACTATCTAGGTGGTGTGTGTGAGCGATCACGGTCGTCACTGTGAGGGCAGCCTCTTCCGACCTGTGTGCTGGGGTGTGGAGTTAATTTCCCTGAGGTCACCTAGCAGCCCAGGTGGGTGTGGCCTTCCAGCTAGGGGGCGTGGCCTAACACACCATCTATTACAGTCTCAGAGGTGGTAGGTGGGCTAGTCTGTATCGGCAGAAACAACGAGTCCTCTGGCATCCTAGAGACTAACAGATCGATTGGGGCATAAGGTGTCGGGGGTCAAACCCACTTCATCAGATGAATTGGAGTGGAGTTCACAGGGGCAGGGGTATATATAAGGTCAACAAGAGAAAGAGGGTACTTGGGTCAATGAGACTAATCAAGTCGCGGGAAGTGGCTCATTCGCAGCATTTGGTGTGGAGCTGAGACTGTCAAAGGAGGGGAAATTGCCTCTGTACCACGTTAACCAGTTCAGATCCTTATTCAGTCCCAAGCTGATAGTGCTGAATTTGCAAATGAACTCCAGTCCGGCTGTCCCCTTTGTCACTGGGGTTTGAAGTTCTTTTGTAGAAGGATGGCTACTTTCAACTCCATCCCTGAGTGTCCAGGGAGGTTAGGGTAGGTCTATACTAGCTCATTAGTTCGAGCTAGGTAGGCAAATGAGTTGCAAAGGAAGCCCGGGATTTAAATATCCCGGGCTTCATTTGCATGTTCCCGGGCGCCACCATTTTTAAATCCCCCTTAGTCCGAACTCCATGCCCGCGGCTACACGCGGCACGGAGTAGGTAGTTCGAATTAGAGATCCTAATTCGAACTACCATTACTCCTCGTGGAAATGAAGTTGCCCTCATTTGCCCTGATGAAGAGGGTTGGACCCCCGCCCCCTTATGCCCCAATCGATCTGATCGTTTCTAAGATGCCGCAGGATACAGTCTCCTTGTTTCTGCGGATATTTCGGGTTAGCCAACTGCACAGGCTGCACCACTTTATAGAATACTAGGACTCAAAGTGACCCCAAGAGGTCATTGAGTCCAGTCTCCTGCCCTCATTGCAGGACCAAGTACTGTCTAGACCTTCCCTGATTGACATTTATCTAACCTACTCTTAAGTATCTCCACAGATGGAGATTCCATAACCTCTCTGGGCAATTTATTCCAGTGTTTGACCACCCTGACAGTTAGGAACTTTTTCCTAATGTCCAGCCTAAACAATGTATTGCAGTGTTAGGATCCTTAAGGGCAGAGTGGTTTGTGTAACGCCTGTGGGGCTGGCCCCGCTCCAGCTGCCCACTGTGGCCCTGCCATGAAGGGCCGGGCTCTGACCGCAGCACCGGGGTGGCCATCGGATAGGAACTCGGGAGATGCGGCCGTGGCACTGGCTCACGGCCGGACTGCACCGATCCCACGCAGGTCGCCGACAGCGAGACGAAGGCCAGTGCCCTGCAGCTGTCTGTGGAGCGTCTGCACCTGACCCTGGCCAAGGCCGAGGAAGGCGAGAGCGCGCTGAAGGACAAGGTGCAGGGCCTGTGCCTGTCTCTGTCGGAGATCAACGCCAGCGCCGGCACCACCCAGGAGAAGGTGCTGCAGCTGCAGAAGGCGCTGATGGCCGGCGAGCACGACCGCCGCGTGCTGCAGGTGGGCGTCGCCTGGGTGCGGGCAGGGTGTGTGTGGCAGAGGGGCCATGGGCAGAGCTTTCCAGCGGGATGGAAGGACAGCGGCAGCGGTGGGGGAGCAGCTGCTGGTACTGAGCCCGACTGGAGACACCTCCCCATGCAGACCCCCCTGCAAACCACCCCGGGGCCGGGTCCCCTCCCCGTGCGCCGTGCTGCGAGGCGGCGGCGCCGTCCTTGT